GAAATTTGAGGGCACATTACAGGCACTCTTACCATGCTTCCTGGCAGTATGGCTAGTCACACAACACTCATTCACCAGAAAGTAAATGGGTGAAGATACTCTCTGCCATCCCTTCTAAGTCACCAGCTTGCTTGCTTCCATCTTAGCTTCCTCCTGTTTTCTGGGGAGTGGCAGATGGACATCATTCCAAACAATTATTGGGAAATATAATACTCATCATAAAAGGAGATGTAAATGTATCCACCCAGTTTCAGGAGTGCAGGATAGGTTTGTCTGATTTCCTTTCTGCTGAATGGAAGGGAAATAAGTAAATCCTTTGGGTGTCTAGCTTCCTTTTTACACTCAGCAAAAGTCAGGAAAGGAATATCCACATCCCTTGGTAGATATTACTGCATAAGACATTGGAAGAATGTCTTTGGAAGAGCAGCATATATCCTATTACCTCGATCTTTAAACAGTTCAACAATATTATCATCTATGCACTGCCAATAAGAGCATCATTCAATGACTCTGTAGCCAAGATAAGCTAGGACGGAGAGAACAGTAATTCCCAGCCTAGGAGATCTCAACTAGCCTTTAACAATAAAGAGTAAGTGGCAGGAGATCTTTTTCAAGGGAGAAGAACTTTCTTGGCTTTGGCAGCCATGACTGAATCATTCTGCTATTTTAATGGATCCAAAAAGAGGTTAGTTTGAGTTGTTGCTGTTGCTGTTATTATTTTATATATTTAAGCAGACTCCTATCTGCTGACAGAGAATTCTGATCATCCTTGACATTACTGCTTCCTAGCTTTTTCCCATATGCTTTATATGGTTTTGTTTCACTGTGCAAAGGACAGAAAAATTAAGGCAACTGCTTAATAGCTTTGGTTAGAAAGTGCCATCATGGTTGCATTCTCATTTTAAATGCCTCTCCTGTTACAAATAATTCATTTTATTTTCCTAAATATATAGTAGACACATTACTATCCTAAAATCTATTCCAAAGTAAAGGATGTGCATATTTATCAAGTCATCCCGAGACACAAGTTACGTATATTAAACTTTTCACACTACAAATCCTATTTATCTAGCATGGCTTTTATGTCTGCTATCGAGGAACCAAACCTAGAGTTAAAATGTGAGTGATAACACTAAATAAGATTAAAGGTCTTGCACTCAGGAGTCATGGTACTATAATTGACTTATCAGCAAAAGATTTATGTACAGTTTTTTCCTGTACACATAATGGATAAAGAACGTAGAACAAAGCAAAGAGAGGAGCTTAGCTACAATAACATTAAACTGGATTTTTCAAATAACATTGTAGATAAAATGTTTATGGAATAAATGTTCTCCTACTCTTTCAAGTTTAGTATGCACATAGTTCTATTGTCTGAAGGCCTTAAAACAGAGGTTGGCAATTTTTCAGGTATTATCAAATAATTATGCATAATGGAGGGAACCAATATATTATATTACATCACATCTCATATCTCATATCTCATATCTCATCATATCATATCATATCATAATGCCAAAACACAACATTTCAGCATTCTTTCCCAAAATTTCAGATAAAGCATTGTTGTTTTCAAAGATTTCAGGAGAGAACAGTGAACTCTTGTAAGGGGTGCTGTGATTTTGAACTTTTATAAAAGAATATTTTATTTGGGGTGGGGGCGGTTGTCACAAATGCCATGAGAGATATGGTGCCTGTGGATGCAGACATTGCTGTATGTCTTTATGAAATATCCAACTAAAAGAAATTCCCATCATTTATTGTGAGGTAATGGACATATATACATGTTCAAAGTAAATAAATAACTGCAACAGTGAATTTTCTGAAACCAGAACATACTTTCCTTAATTTAATAAACTTTTAAAAGCTAGCATTTTATGGTTTAAAATTGTTTTATGGCCTAAGGTAGGAAGGTAGGAAGGTAGAAGAAATGAAATGGTAATTGAGAACCTTTCCCAAGCTGAAGTCCTTCTGTTATGTTGGACTTCACCTTCTAGTTGAGGAAGGCTTATGTGCACAGGATCAAGAAGAAAGAAACATGAGAAACAATCTGTAATCTGGAAGAATCAGCAGTGTCCACAGCAAAGTATATTAACCCCAAAAGGACAACGTATATGTGACATCATACAAATGCTACCATTATGTACTTTCATCTTGATGTCTTACATATGTATGTAAATTTGTGCAGTGTCACTGTCGTTCACCTTATGTGATTTGCCCTTTCCCCTCTGCCCACCCCATGGATACCCATGAACGCCTTAATTCAGAAAATGTCAGTGAAATGTCACATAGGCCCAGGCAAGCTGTAATCAGATAAAAGGGATTTTTAGGTCACCAGCTGAGTCATACAATTTATTGCTCTGTTTCACACTGCTAGAGAGGACAAGTAACCTGCTGTGGATTTATGTAGCCAATTACTTTACTAACCTTGGCCCCACTTCCTCAACAAGACAACTCAACCATATAGTGATTATCCTCCTCTCATTTTTTTTAACTGTAACATTCCTATTATGTGAAGCTTTCTAATTAGTTAATGGAAATAAATTTAAGCCCATCAGAATACATATTAATTAAGCAGACATTAATATAGATGTTAGAATTGCAAATAGCATTTAAAAAAATAGCATTTTCTCCTCAACTTTGCTCTTATACCTATACGTTTGTTTCTTCACTATGTGCTTCTATAGAAACCCTTCACAACTTCTAGCATAACAACAGAAGAATTTCTGGTTCAAGCCAAGGACCCATTTGGTTCAATGTATACCCACAGTGGCCCGCAAATTCTGCTCTAGCACTACATTCTTCTTCAGCTTTGTGCTTTACAAACTGGTATTGGGAGTGCCCTTATGCTGGATGTAATTTATAGCTATGATTAGTGGCCTTAGCTTCATTTATCATAGTCATATAAAGTACATTTCCAAAATAGATCTTGAACTTCTGAAATCAAACAGGATTTTCTCTGATTGATATATAAAGCTGTACTGTATTTGAATGGGAAGTCCTCAAGTACCACAATTCAGATTATACTAAGGACCAGTTTTACTTTTTTTAAAGGATTGTATCCTTATATTTCATGGCACAAACATTTTTATGATTAATCAATCTTTGATCTCTAGCCCTCTTTAACTTTGTACGCCATAGCAACATTTCTTATTTCTCTGCACCATCACTAATCCCTTTGAAGCCGCTGTCAATAACTCTTCCTTTTGTTCTCTGTCTACAGTGAGATATATTTTCTACCCACATTACTGAAATGTGTTTAAGAGAAGGAGTTTTAAGTGTGCTAATATTAAATTATACATCAACATCAAAAGAAATTCCAACTATAATGACAACATAGCATTATGAATATTTCTTAATATAGGAAAGCAAAAAATCCTTCTTGGCCTAAGGCATAGTAAGAAAGACCATGCAATCAACTGTTAAGTCCTAGAAGATGAGTTGTATTACTCACTAGTTTTTATTAACTAGCTTTGATTCTAATACTGTAAGACTCAAGATTATTAAGGATAAATGGTGCTACCAAGCTGTGAATTGAGTTTATTAAATAAAAACAACAAATGGTTCTGTATGACATACCATCTCATATGGATATCTCAGCTGTCATGATTTGGATTTAAAGCAGACAGGATAAAGAGCAGAATAGATACAGAATACTGACCACCAAATGTTTCCTCTTGAGATGACGCCTAAAACACACTGAGAGGAAAATCTAGAATTGTTCATATTGTCTGCTTCAGAATATGTTAAATATACTGAGCTAGCTCCTCAACTGCTTATTGTATACTTGGCAATATCAAAGTGATACTAAAAATATTCAGCCTGAAGCAAATGAAGAACAATGATGCTTAATTCCAACTTTGCTTTTCTAAATATATATCCACAATGCAAACTTACAGCAAATTACAGGATGATAACTCAGAATGATTTAGTGAGCAAACTGCAGTGTTCCCAGTTGCTGGGTATATAAAGTAATAGATTTATGAACGGGGTCCAGAATATAAAAACCACCATTTAAAGATTTCCCAATAGATTTGTGACTTTTCCCTACATTATTAAATTTGCTTAATTTTTTATTCAGTTTCTCAGTTTCCTTTGATTAATAAACATCAGATACTATGTGAACAGTCACATCTACAGTAAGTGTTAATTTGGATTTCTCAGGAAATAACTAGGCTGATTACCTTAAGCAATAAAATGTTCATTCCTAGCTTCTCTTTTTGGGGTGAATTCAAATAATATTTTTTTAGACTAGTGTCAGTGCTCAGATTGTTTGTTCCCAATATCTGGTAAATGGAGATTCACTAGCAATCAATAGCATCCATACAAAACCATGATGGTGTCAAGAAGACAACACGTGCACAATGACATCATCATGTCAATGGCATAATCGTGTATTTGCATCACAATGTTTGACATATGAGTATTGTCATTTTGGTGCCCCCTTCAGCCCATGTTTTATATTTCTACATTCTTAATATTCATAATTTATGTTGTCATTGTAGTTGATGCTCATGTATAAATTAAAACTAGCATACCTGAACTTCTCTAAAAACTTTTCAATAATGCAGAGAGAAAAGACAATTCCTATAAACAGAGAAAAAAAAAGAGGGGATATTTATAGTTTCAGAAAGATTAGTGGTAATGCAGAGAAATGCAACTAATGGACAAAACAGATGGAAGAACAAACAGTAGGACAGAATTCCTGAAGGGATGAAAATGTATCATAAAAGGTTATGATGATCAGGTGAACTCTGTGGTTATTCCAAAGTGACAGAAGGTATCAGGAGGCAAGAGAACAAGACATTCCAAGATACTCGCTTTATAGAAGATCTCTTCTCATCTTTAGAGGAGGCCATCATCTAAATACTGGCAATACCTTCATCTCAGTTTTACTAAACAGCCTCTTAGCCCTACAAGAGCTAGACTAACACATTGATCTTGACTGGCAGCACCTGTGAGTGTATATTACGTCCATGATCTCAAATTCTTTGTCTTACCTGAGTCCAGAACATGTACTCAAACTTACTGCAGATTCAGCATATTCTTGTACATAGCCATGATAGAAGCAATGATTCTAATGAGACAGAGAAAAAAGAATCAATTCCCATATTCTATGTGTAATCTTATTGCTGATGTGTGACATGTTCTGTTCCTTCTTTTATAAAGGTCTTTTCTGTATTCCAGTGACTGGGGAAATAATCATGCTGAAAGCATCCTTCTGCCTAGTTTGAAACAAGGCATGAAAGTTTTCAGGATTTAATGCCAGATTTATATGAGCTCATGGCAATATCTATGCTGTACCTCATTCAGCAAAAGACAATGATCAGACATGTATTTAAAGTGATTCTCCCTGACACACCTGCTCTTTTTGATTATATTATTATTGGAAAACTATGATAGGAACAGTTTGTAAAATTAAACAGCAGAGCAAATTACACTGTCATTCACCTTTAGGAATTCATTGTAGATATAAATTTTAAATTATGCAGATCCATAAGACATAATTAAACATACTGCACAATGTAATAAAACCATTTCCTATTTAACAGCTTCACAAAGAAATTGATCATAAGAAATAGGGTGGAGAGGAGAGAGAATATTTTATCATATTATGGTGACTTGGAAGCAGCATGTTATTAAGAACAGGAATGAAACGGAATTCACTTTCAGAAGCCACTCCTGTTTCAATTTGTGGCAGGTTATTGTATTTCTTTTTAATAAATCCAGATGCTTATCAAAGGAACCATGACAGAAGATACATAGTCAATAAAGTTGTGAATTTGTCCGGAATTCAAGGTTAAAACTATTGCTGATGAAACATAATACCTTCTCCCCCATTATGGACCTGGTTATAAAATAAAGTTTGTGTCACAAGCAGAATTTCTAGCTCCTTTGAATGCCATCTGGAAACCAACTCTCCCCCCCCCCCTTTGTGAAAGGTTGTTATCTTATTAATGCAAAGAAAGCTATCTCTCATATTTCAGCATAACAGTCATCTCACCAACCTCTATTTCTTGGTTCATTCACATCTAAGCTGCATTAATTAACCTTTCAGTATCAGGGCATGGTTTTCAATTACATAGTCTCAGACAGCACCCTTCTAAAGGTGCTTGATTTGGTTAGAGAAAGTAATCATATGAAAATATCACAGTTGAGTTTTAATAGTTCAGGAGTATGAAATTTGGGCAAATTTGATCACCACATAAAGAAAATATTAGCTTAGCACAAAAGTATTTCTTTTTCTCTTCATTTTATGTGAAAAGATGTAAAAAATGACAAGTGCTATAAACTACATGCAGGGCATATCTATATGGATAAAATTAACATTAACTATATGGATAAAATAACATAAAAGAAGTTGGTTGCCTTGTATGTTTACTGAATTATCTTTTAATCTGTTCCAATATCAGCTTAATAAAAATAATGTAAAAGGGGAGAAATTCATATAAAATAAATTATGTGTGTCTATGTTCATGTGTTTACAATAAAAGCAGCAATAACATGCATAATAAAGCAATATAGAACAACAGTATAAGAATTATATTCAACAAAACTTACTCATTAAAAGCAAGGGGTGGGGGAGAAAGAAAAAGAAAGCCCCAATCTTTCAACATGACTTCTGGGAAGGCTAGTGAAGTGGTAAACTTCAATAAGCCTCTAAAAGATAGGATATTCACCTGCAAACAACCCCCAAATGGCTTTCTGCAACTATCATTACACGCAGCAAAATCTCTCCTGGTGATCTCGGTGACACACCAGGCCTATTATGGTAAATGTGATCTGATAGGTACTCTTGGCCCAAGTTGTTTGCAACTGTACACAACCTTGAACTGGGCTCAGTAACTCATTAGGTAGTGCAAAGAAGTAGGATGGGCATGGCCAGGTACCCCTTTCAACAACCTAGCACTGCATTAGCTTCCAAGCCAAGCACATTAGAAGCCTCACATAGAGTGTATAGTATAATCTAAACATGCTGTTACCTATCCTTGAGCAACCGTAGCTGGGCTATTGCTATCCAGAAAAGGGCACTGTTTGTTTCCAGTGGAAGCTGGCAATATGCATTCCTAAGCAGAAAGGTTACTTGGGCCTCCAGTGACAATGATGACTGTAGAAGCACCCTGAAACTAAGTTCCAGTTCTTTCTGTGAGAATGCTTTCCCATTTTAAAACAGATAAACTGCTAATTCCCAAACCCAGAAGCCCTCTTCTCACAAAATGCAGTTGGTCTGCCCCTGGCGCCTGATGGACCCGTCAGGGTTTCAGAAGGAGCTGGGGGGTTTTCCCATGGATTTGCTGGACGGTCCAGCAGAGGCCTTGGCCGCCACCTGGAATAGAGAGGCAGCCAGGGCCTTGGACAGGATTGTGCCTATGCGACCTCTCTTGCCACATTGGCCCCAAAACTCCCCATGGTTTACGGAGGAGTTGAGGGTTCTGAAGAGGGTTAGGAGCACTGCAGGAGGAAGACAAAGACCAAATCTGACCGAACACAAGTTAGAGCCGCTATCAAGGCCAACATTGTGGCGATAAGAATGGCGAAGCACCATTACTTCTCCGCTTTTATTGCGTCCGCAGAATGCTGCCCAGAGGCCCTGTTCAGGATCACTAGGTCCCTCCTTGGTAAGGGGGATGTGGGGGTTCATTTGCAGGGCCGCACAGAGGAATTTTTGGAGCATCTGCAGGACAAAGTCGCTCGGATTCGTTCCAAGTTGGACTCCAAGTGTGGGGCAGGGTCTGGGGAGATACCGGGGGGCTGTTCTTACCCAGTTATCTGGGAACAGTCTGATCCTGTTGCTCCTGAGGAAGTG